GGGCTCCCTGCTCCGCGGGAAGCCTGCTTCTCCCTCTCCCACTCCCCCTGCTTGTGTTCCCTCTCTCGCTGTGTCTCTCTCGGTCAGATAAATAAATCTTTAAAAAAAAAAATGAGTCCATCTGTCCCTCCCCTCCACTCTCTCTCTAAAATAAATAAATCTTAAAAAGAAAGAAAGAAAGAAAGAAAGAAAGAAAGAAAGAAAGAAAGAAAGAAAGAAAGAAAGAAAGAAAGAAAGAGAAAGAAAGAAAGAAATTTCAGGGGAGGGAGAAAAAAAAAGATGGAGGGTTAAAAGAAAATAAGGGAGGGAGCCTGGGTGGCTCAGTTGGTGATGTGTCTGCCTTCAGCTCAGGTCATGATCTTGGGGTCCTGGGATCAAGTCCCACATCTGGGCTCCCTGCTCAGCGGGGAGCCTGTTTCTCCCTCTGCCCCTCCCCGCTCATGCTCTCTCTCTCAAATAAATAAATAAAGTCTTAAAAAAGAGAGAGAATAAGGGACATATCAACTAATTGCAATATGTGAATACTATCTGGATCTTGAGTTAATCAAAAACTGTAAAGAAATAAATTGATGAGACAATTGACATTTTGAACACTGTGGATATTTGATAAGAAGAAATTATTAACTTTCTCAAGGGTGATAGTAGTATGGATACATGGTTTCAGTATCTTTCAGAAATACAGATTAAAATATTTATAGTTGAGGGATGCCTGGGTGGCTCAGTGGGTTAAGCAGCTGCCTTCAGCCCAGGTTATGATCCCAGGGTCCTGGGATCGAGTCCCACATCAGGCTCCTTGCTCAGCAGGGCACCTGCTTCTCCCTCTCTCTCCCTCTGCTTGTGCTCTGTCAAGTAAATAAAATCTTTAAAAAAAATAATAAATAAAATAAAATATTTATAGTTGAAAAAATACAGTGGGTGGGACTCTTTTCCCAAATGAATTGTGCTAACACACCTGGTTTCTGGGACACACTAATTTCTTGATTCTCCTCTCTTTTTTCAACGCTTTCTTGCTCTATCTGAAATTAGTTTATTTTTGGTTTTACTTGTTTCCTGTCTGTTCCCCACAAGAGCAGCAATCCTGTCTTTTGCATATCGCCACATCCCACAGGGTTAGCATAGTACCTGGCATATATGAAGAGCTAAATACTTATTGAATGAATGAATGTCAATATAGGTCTTACCATTGCTCTGGTCCTGAGTCCCAGGTCCACATTTCCAATTGTGAACTAGACAGCGACATCTACACCCAGACCAGATATCTCCTCCGGTTATCTTCAACAATGATGGTGATGATGATAGAAACTAACTGTTCTATATAGCACTGGGTGAGGCCAGCACATACGTTGATTCATTTAATAATAACAATTACCCTCTATGATCCCACTTAACAGAGTGGGAAGTTGAGGCCCCGAAAGGTCATTTGGATTGCCCAAGCTCACACACCTGGTCAGTGACTGCACCAGGGTTAGAGCACAGAGAGGCTCCGGAAGCTTACCCACCAGACTTGACTGCCTCTCCTTACTTAAGACTAGCCATTCTCCTAAGCACTTGGGCTCACCATTTGGGGTCACCTCAGACTTCTGTCTCT